CCAGGTTAAACCACGAGAGATGCTAATGTACTTTGAAAGACAGAAAACAATCTCAGTTACTCCCTTAAGACTGCCAGGCTGGTAGGAAGGCCTTTAATAACCTCAGCTTATGTTTTGTTATGTGCTGTTGTTTCAGGTTCAATGGATCCAAAGGACTTTCTGAGGGAAGCACAAATAATGAAGAACTTGAGACATCCAAAGCTTATACAGCTTTATGCTGTCTGTACTTTGGAGGACCCAATTTATATTATTACTGAGCTGATGAGATATGGAAGTCTTCTAGAATACCTTCAAAGTAAGCAAATGACTATAAACTCATTTCAAGGGGTGCCACAGCTGTCAGTTTAGTAAATACACTAACATAAAAGACAGAAGTACAACACTTTGGTTTAATATAAAAGCTACATTATTTGTCGCATGTGGGGATGAGAAAAGAGGAAGGAAAGAGGTTTATGAATTTTTGACATGCCAAAGTATTTGAGAAGTAGGAGAGAATCATATTCACAGTTTGATTCTTGCCTTATAATGGCCCACATTTTTCCACCCAGTTCTATGAGTAGATGGGAACATACACTGACAGAATAAAAATATAAGCATACAGAAGGATAGGTCATCATATTTGACATGAAATAGAGGCACTTCCACAAAATGTACTTAACAGCTTTGAAATCTATTACTAGGAAGGGATAGCCTTTCACTGTGAATTTGTCCCTTGCCTATCACATCAGGGCTTTTATCTCAGCTGCACTTCAAAGTGCTCTTTTGAAGGCAAATAATAATTAAAAATAAAGTTGTACAGCCTGGAAGAGACTAGCATAATGATTGCACTTTAAATTCACCCCTGCTATTGAGAAATGCTTGATTCTAGTGTTGTTACCCATTTTCAGTTTAGCAGATGTCTCTGAGAAGCTAAATGTCTCTAAAGCTATAATGATCTCTTGAAGACAAAATGTTCGCTGCGATTGTCTTGCTAAATTTCTTCCCTATCTCCAGCCCTTAAGACAAAGCACTGTGAAATACCACAGACAGTACTTACCACGACACATGCCTTCCCCCATCTTCTCTGTGGAACCATTTTTTAAGTGAGGCTCAGTCCAGGGACAATTACATCTAAAGAAATCCCTGGCAGAGGGACAGCCCCACCAGGAACTGTGCAGAGAGAGTCTGCAGGAAGTTTGGGCCAGGTCATCTAAAGTTTTGTAGGCATTTAGTGGCGAGGCACAAATTTCCCTTAAATTCTCATCTTTGGTGCCTTTGTGTGCAGATTGCTGCTTATCTGATTGAAAGAGCCTGGCACAACAGGAAATGATTGCTGTGCATGAAAACATTTATTGCACTGGAGAAATAGCTCTGAGAAAGCCAGGATGAGTCACAGCTATTGCAGAGGTGAAAATTGGCCTGTTTGTGCACGGAAAACTGTTGTCGAAAAGCGGATTCGTGCCCGGCGTGCAAGTAACCAATTCCACACGCTCAGGAGAGATATTGTTTTATTCAGGCCTGGGTGCTCGGTGGACTTGCCACAAATCAAGCACCCCTGGTCTAATCACCTTTCTGTTTATATCCATGCTTCTCATACATATTTTAAATTTCTCTTTTACATATTCATTAAGTTTCCAGGAACTAATTATAATATTACATCATCCTAGACACATGCGCACTAAAGCCTTTAGGGTCTTCTTGAAGGTCTCGGGTGGTCTCTGGTGGTCAGCAGGGTAGTGAACTTTCTGTGAACTTGTCTTTCCTTCTCCTTATAAGGTTGCAACTTGTCCCCGAGCCATACTTGGATCGCTTTTATTTATGGTTTCCATAGTCAAAGTTAATTATCACTAGAATCTAACAATGCTTCTAGGATACACAGTTTATACTAGTTACAATTCCACACACTTTCAAACACAACACCTGTTAGTTACCTAACTTCTAAGCAACAAATCTTCATTGTTTAGAATTAAAGAAGCGAGCAGTATGGAATAAGAGGTACTATACCTACTGCATCAAAACAACATGTCCAGGACACATCAGCGCTGCAGCCTGTGTGTAAATCAGTTGCCAGCATATGCGCCGCAGCTGCCCTTGCTGTAGGCAGTGCATGTATGCAGCCTGATCTTTGCCTAGGTGCTCATTCCTCTAGCCCTGCATCAGAAAGACTGTGGAAAGTCAGTTGTTTTCCAGGCAGCTGTGAAGATAACCGTAAAAACGGCCAGTTGAAACCCAGCCTAGTGGTATCTCTCCTTGTCTGATGGCCTCTACACAGGGGGATAAACAGAACTAAGAGGTGGAAGCAGAGATCCAGGTGCTTTGATAGGTATTGGTCGGAGAAAAGTCATTGCCGTCACTGTAATAAGGAAAGAGATTTGAAGCTTGCGTAGAGCTCTGTGACTGGAAGTGATCTGTATTGTCTGGTGGTAAGTGCACCGCTCCTGATAAGCATTCTTGAGACTCAGCACCGCAGGAACCAGGAAAACATTTCCAAAAGGCTGCTATCTCTGTGGGCACTATGGGTAAATATGGCAAACTGGAACAGAGGGAAAGTCCAGAGGTCATTCTTTGGTTAAATTTCCCCTCCTAGAAATGCATGGTATGTTTTTCCAGCTTTAAAAATCCCTAATACTCCATGCATAGTGACTATCGCATTCCACCGTAACGACAGCTGCTTAACAATGATGGGCATTTGAATTCCCTGTGCACCCTGTGAATGTACTTTGGGATACTTCGTGATGAACACTGCTATGCAGAGTTATTGAGCTGCCACCAGTATGAGAAAAATGTAGCTGAAAACTTTTTGTTATTGGATGTGAATGAAATTGTCATAATGTATGAGTGTTTTTATCAGTTCTGATAGACTTGGGGCTTGCTCTGGCAGGGATGCAGTCTTGAAGTTCAGTGAATTATTACGGAGGCAATGCTCTCAACTGGGGAAAGTGCTGCTTATTTATTTATTTATTTATTTATTGTCAGGCATCTGTCAATAAGAATATTTTGCTGTCTTTCCTATATGAGATATTGTGATTGATTGCTTAGAACAGGGTGCAGACCCTAAGCCTTCTTTACTATCTTCTGTAATAAATTTTTCATATAAGGGCGATAGTTTTGTCAAAAAATATTAGTAAAAAAGAACATGGAGGCGCTATGTTTTCTTTATAGGATAAAGAGTAGGTCATGGGAAGGTTTTATAAATTCACCAGTAGTGCCTGGTTTGGAGTGTGGAAGTTATATTAACTTTGGTTTTTTGTTGTAGTTTTTCCTTCTTTAAAACACTTTAAACCAAACTAAAGCACATGTATACCCATATGAATACAGCTGGAAACTCTTCCGGCCTGCTCTCAACCAGCCAGATGAGAGCTGGCTCTGGCCTGGAAACCTCTGAAGTTGTACTAATGCAGTGCTGTGCTTGAACGTGCGTGCTTTGATTGGCCCAACCCAGGCTTTTGGAGGTATAGTCAGAAACCTTTATGAGACAACCATACATGATTTGCACTTCAGATCCCAAAGAGACTCGTGCTCCATCTTTGTGCACAGTTTGCAACTCCTGATCAGCTGAGGCTCCTCCTTAGAGCTTTCCCTTCTTTAGCTCCAGAACAGCAGTAGTGCAGAACCAGCTCGCAGAAAGAAACCCTCCAAGAAATATTGCAGCAGCCAGGGCAACTCAGCCTGGTCTGAGATCCCAAACAGGCCCCAATGAAAGAAATAGACTTTCAGCTGCAACTCCACCATTAGAGGTGGATCTCGTCCTTGTCCTTTAACACAGTGCACCTGTGTGTCCTGCAGGGAATAAGAGGGAGGGTTTAGCAGCTCTAACTCCTATTCTGCACTGAAGCAGCTCATTAAACATGAGGCTTATGGGTCATACTTTTTGTGCCGTGGCATTGCTGTGTTCTGCCTCTTGGAGCAAGCTTGTGTCAGGCCAGCCTGGAGCATGGCAGAGCAGTGACAAACCCGTGCTCAAGTCTGTTGGCATCCTTGTCTGCTTTCACCAGGAGGTAGTTCACAGCCTGAGCAGATGAAGGAGCAGCGTGAAAGGGAGCATGGAGAGAGGGATTTTAAACTGAGTCACATAAGCTAGTTTCCAAAACCCAGGTACTCATGCAAGGTACTTGTACATAGTTAGTTATTTTCCAATTAAATACAACATAAGCGTTATTTGTGGATTTTTCTTTGTCCAGCAAGCTGAATAATAAATGCTGATGTCTGCCAGTTATCAGAACTGCAAAACTTCAGTGTGTTATATTATTTTGTGGCCTGATGATGGATTTTCTTGATGGTTAAGCCACAGATTTTCACATAGCCTGATTTTTGCTCCTTCTCTCTTTTAAAGGTCAAGGCAGCTATTAAACATACCTATGGGAGAGGAAAAGATTTGCTGAGTCAACAATAGAAGTAAATAATCTTAATGCTGGATTATCATGACAATGAGTTTACCCTCAAAAAGGAAGTAGGACAATACACATACAGGGCAAATTTAAGAATTTAAAATTAATTTCTTTTACCTATTCATCTCAGAACATCCAGATAAGCAGGAAATTCAAGGCCTGGAGATTGCAGAATAGATTAGTAAACAATGGAATTTCACACTCTTCATTAGGAGTGACTGCAAGATTAGGTCAGATAAAATGCCGGAACTGGAGCAGGCTATGCAAAACAATGCTAAGACAGACTTTCACTATGAATCAATTCAAAATAAGCAACAGAAAACTGCCAGCTACAAATGTTTTATTTCTTTAACGCAGAGGCAGTAAGAAAAGTCACCATCCTCAATGAGAAAGGAGAACTACCAATAAATGTTGCAGCAAACATTCAGCTTTTTGGTATTGTTAAGATTCTGAAACAGAAAGTTGAAACTGTTTTGAGTATTAGAGGCTACAGAGGTAGGCACTCATGCTTCAGTGCTGCAGCATTTGCATTTGGGTGACAGTGATGCTTGACTATAACACTGATTTGGCTTACCTAGATTATCTCGGGGTATAAATTCTATGCTATGAGGAGGTCAGCTGTCCCCAAAATGCCACAAAGGCTTTGAATTTGAATTCTAATGTATTATACCCCAATGACTTTTTTTTGAGTACCTGTCTTACTATTTTTGGCTGCAGGTTTTCATGGCCTAAGGCTCTGTCCTTCATTTGTGGAGGGAAGTTGATCTGCTCAAAGTTCTTCTACTACTTTGTTTGAACAGCCTATCTTTGATCGCCAAATCTCTATTTCTGGGACTTGCTGATCTTACAGTGGTGGGAATGGCAGGCACATTGCTTCAGAAAGTTCTGCAAGAGAAGCAGGCAGCTTGAAAGCAGCTCAAGGAATCCTACTGTTGAGTAGCAGCAACAGAGATAACAGCGTGAAGCAGTCAAGTGGACTGGAAAGTGAAAATGAGAGTTACACTTGACAGCAGATGGTATATTTCCTAGTAAGAATCATTGGAGAACAGGGAACCAGCATAATTTTGTGCTTTTCCATCTTTAGTCAGCTTTGGCTACACCCAGTGAGTTCTGACATTAACTTTTACTCACAGTTTGGAACGGGTTATGCACTTGTCAGAAAGGCAAACATCTGCATTACTATCGGTGGGTAAATGCCTTTTTCTTTGGACTGTGTCAGAAGCTCCTTCCAGGCCTAGATCAACTGCTGCATTTAGTATCTACTCTTTTAGAGAGGATGGGACAGGCATTGTTACTCAGTTATCATGAAACTAGCTGCATGACTTTAAGTGACTTTAAGTAACTTTAAGTAACTTTCACTAACCTGTGTCACTTGATCGGGCTCTTACTTTATTGTATTGCATGGTTTTGTTGATTTGTGTTGGCTATTTGAACCAGTCAGCTGTTACGTTATTTATATCTGAATACCGTAAATATTATGCTATCCTTGTCATCTTCTTTTTAAACAGAAGATGCAGGCTCCGAAATCTTCCTGCCACATCAAGTAGACATGGCTGCTCAGGTGGCTTCCGGGATGGCTTACCTTGAATCTCAGAACTATATCCATCGGGATCTGGCAGCCAGGAATGTTCTTGTTGGTGAACACAATGTTTACAAAGTAGCAGACTTTGGACTTGCAAGAGTTTTTAAGGTGAGTTGTGAGAGGGTGAATTGGCTCTACTTTGACTCTGGGGAACAAGGTGGAGGAGGTCAACTAAAGAATGAACTGTAGCCTCTGAATTGCTGGGTTCAGGCAAAAGGCATGCCCAGGGAAAAAAGGACCCCTAACGTGTTCACTTGTATCCTCTACCTGCGTTATCCCATGCAAGGGTAGAAGCTGGCCTGTGCCTTTGTGTCAGTCTGAAGATGGCATCCCGGTGTCTGCTTCCCACTCAGCCACCGAGGAGGGAGCCTGGCAAGCAATACCCTTTGCTGCACAACCTTTATCCACAACACTAGTGTCTGCCACATGGAGAGAGATCGCAGGAATGATGGCAAAATTACATTCCTGAGCCTGTAAGGGAAGGCATATAAAAATGTATTGACAGCTATTCTTTCCTTGTTCACTTCCCCACTGCCTCCATGATGCTTGCGAGTGCAGGTAGTAATCGTAAAAGGACCTTATTCCCCTCCACGACTAACAGCGGAGTTCATAAAGTGAGCTCTCAGAGCATTAAATCTGATGCAGTTTCAAGTTCTTTGCCATTGCACTGTTTTTTTTCTCTAGCCCTTGAGGACGTGGAATGCCAAGTAATGCTGACCAACATCACCCTAGGAAAGAGCTGTGGTTTAGAAATGAGATTTCCTACCTCTGAAAATGATTTTATCAGAGTTAGAAAGATTTGATTTGCCATATTTTATGGATATCAATATGTAATCTATAATTTCTGAGGCCTTATTATTGTTTTTATTGATTTATGTTCTTGCACTGAGAAGGAAAAACAAAGAAAAAAGCCTTCTTCTTCTCGTTTGGTTTTTTCCATTCAAGCAGCAGAAATTGAAGTTCATAACAGAGTTGGATTTATTACATACTGAAGTATAGAATAATGGCTTGACAATGGCATCAAGGGACTTTGAAAGTGCTTTTTGCTTAATTTTGATTCTTCTAGTTATGCGTAAGTTCAGATTGCACATTTTTTAACATGAAAAATATATATTTTTAAATGAACAATGCTTACAATGGATATTTCTCTTCTGTCCTCACTAGAGAGGGTAATAATTTACAGCTGTTGACATTTCTTGTTAAAACTGAACTTTACTAAAATACTCTGTCATAGAGTCATCTTGGCAGACTTTCTTAGGAATTTTCTGTCTCCTAAGCCAAAGCACTAACATGGTCACATGCAAAGATCCCAAAGGAGTAGGTGTGAGAAATGAAATCTGTATTTCTGTATGCGTTAATTAGCATGATGAAATAATTTCTTGTTTCTAGAGATGAGTATTATGGTCAAGATGCCAGCTGTATCAGTATGTAGTTACAAAACACTAACAACCAGTCTTTTCAAAACTATAGGGCATTACAGCTGGGAAACGTACATTCTGTATTAAAAACAATCAAACAAACAAAATCTTGTACACATTTGCCTGGATTTGCATGTGAAAAACCTGACTTGGATGTGACTGATGTACACTAATCTACGTTTAGGAATTAAAGAGGGAATAAATGTTCACGAAGTTTAGATATCTGTGCTATAAAACTTTAAGGACATGATTCTACAAAATTGCAAGGAAATAATTTTTCTTTTTCTATGTGTCTTTCATCTTCACTTTACATGAATTAATGGGACCCACTGTAAGCTAATATGTTAATTTAAATCACTTGGAGTTTGCTCTTTGGTCCCCAAACCTGCTTAAGTGATTGTTATCAAAGTCAATGGCCCTTCAACACCGCAATAAATCACAGAAGAAAGGTTCCGAAATTCATTAGCTCTTGCTCTTGCCTTCTCTGTTTACTGAAGACCAGACGTGGAGCCATTTGGTCTCCAGTGTCAGCAGGATGCTTACACTACCACTCCGGCAGACTTTTGAAATCTTGCATGCCAGGTCCACAATTCACAGTAGCAGGTCATAATTAATCACGAGCCACTCCAACGCTGCGTGCTCACTTGAAATGATAAATGCTTTAGAAAAGCCTCCGACGAACGGCAGCATTTCTCAACTGTGAAGCCCCATTCAACAATAGACTTTAGAAAGTGCGTGCTTTAATACCATGAAAGGCAAGTGATTGGCTAAAAGAGGGTAAGATTAAGCACATGCTTAGCTTAGTCAGGTGCTTAAGTGCTTTGCTGAAGCAGATCTGAAATCAGCCTTGCTTCGTTTTACCCGTGACAGGTAGAAAATGAAAATGTATATGAAGCTAGGCCTGAAACAAAACTCCCAGTGAAATGGACAGCCCCGGAGGCAATCCGCTACAACAAATTCAGCGTTAAGTCAGATGTCTGGTCATTTGGAATACTTCTGTTTGAAATAATCACCTACGGGAAGATGCCTTACGCTGGTAAGTGCTTTTACCTGAAGAATGATGTCTAATGTTTTCTTGCTTTAAGAACGACACAAAAAAAAAGTTGAATGCCTGTACTACGGGCATGTTAAAGGGTTAAAACTGTAAATACAGAAAGATGAGGTCCATTTAGTGGGTCAGGTCTTCTGGCTCCCTGGAAGCTTTCCAAAGACTGTGATTAGCAGCCATTTAAGCTTCCTCTCGCTGGAGTCAACCTGCATTGCACAGGCACCTAAGCCAACTGGCTACTTCGCTCCAGCATCAGATCAAAGATGCCAATTCTTGGACTCTGGAAAAAGGGAAGGTTTTTCTGTCCCCCATCCTGTCCTTGGGTTTGGGGTTTTTTTAATTTATTTTTTGGGGATATCTCATGGAAGAACAGATTATTATGTATGAAGTGCTGCACAGGCACTTCAGGAAGAAGGTGTCTGAAAAATGAATCATGGTGGTTTTACTCCCTTCCCTCATATTTGACTATTGCAGTGGAAAGTCTTCATAAGGAGAAGGATCACAAGAATTAGGAATAAAATGTCACCAACGTCAAAAGCAGATTTAATGGTGTGAGAGCAGCCATTATTCCTAGCACTGTGAGAAACGCTCAAGGAACTGTGGCTCCAATAACACAAGATATCAGTGAGATGATTGACTGTGACTCATTTTGTGCTGGTGAGGAGAATACAAGGGAAGGACTAAAGCAAAAAAAAGTTACGCTGCATCTGTACAGGCCTGAGGGGTGTGCGTTCGCCATAAACTACATTTCACAGGGTCCCAAACCGGTATTTCCTGTAAGAGGAAAAACTGATTTTGCTTTTTGATTCCCACCCTCACCTCCTGTGAAACCATTATGAAAAAAAAAAAAAAGAAAACCATAGCCAAAAATCCTCAGCTCTTTCTTATATAAACTACAGGTGTGTGCATATGAACACACACATATGAATAAACTATTCAAGTATAAATGATATGTAACACCATGATTCTTGGTACTGTCTGAAAATATGTTCAGCATTATCCCTTTGCAAAGGCATAGTTTACTTGTAACTTTACAGTAGAAAATGTCTTTTGCCGTGCCTATTTGCTTACTTGGTATTACTTTCAGGAGTTTGTCCTCAGTAGTCAGTCAGGAGAAGAGGTTATGTTGATCCATGGTGGCAGTGGGTAACGTACAGAGATCTAGGGAAAAGAAGTAAAGATTATGCAATACAAGATTTAATTTAAAAAGTAGAAAATTGAAAGGGAATGGGACAATAGTCTTAATATATAAAGGTATAGCAAAGGTAGGGGGATGGTTTCTTCTCCATGACTCGCGGTGACAGAGCAGGCAGGATGCCATCGCGCAGCTGCACCAGAGGAAACTTAGGGCTGACATTAGGGAAGACTTTCTAAATGTGAAAGCAGGACAGATTTTCTTGAGAGGTTTTGAAGTCACTGAGACTAGAGGGATTTAGGAACAATTTCAGCGAAATAGGTGTCAGAAAAATTTTGGCAAACCCGGGTGGCGGAGGAAAAGCCTCACACCCAGACGAACCCATTTGCTATGCCTCTCAGGTGGCGCAGTGGGGGTGAGGGGGCTGGGAAATGCTGGAGGTGGTTTTTAACTGCTGGTTTGGGATCCTCCAGTGACTCCCGACTCCTGTGGCCCGTTGCCGTTGAAGGGGGGCTGCGGAGGCCAGCTCTGCCCTCAGCGTGCACGCGCACCTCACGGGGGGGCATCCCCTTGCCTCGTCTCAGTAAGAGATAGGGCCACGCGGTGTCACTCGGTAGACCCCAAGTAGTCTGACGAGCTCCTTTCGGCTTGCAGGGATGCCAGGGCATCAGGTGATCCAGATGCTGGACAAGGGGTACAGACTTCCTCAGCCGGAGACCTGCCCGGCGCCGCTCTACCAGCTGATGCTGCAGTGCTGGAGCGCGGAGGCGGGCGGGCGGCCCACCTTCGAGGCCCTCTGTGGGCAGCTGGAGTGCTACTTCGAGACCGACTCCTCTTCCTACGCCCACGCCCAGGCCGTGGTGAAATGAACCCCCGGGCAGGGGCTGAGGGACAGACGCCGGCGAACACGGCTGAAGCGGGGGGCTGTGAAATCGGCCTGACCTCAGATGTGGAGGTTATTAGGGGCTGCTGAGGAACTGTGGTACGTTTTCATGCCCGCGCTGATACTCAAAGACACTTAAAAATTTTTGCTGCTGGCAAGAGTTTTGCAAGACTAAGCATCAGGAAGCTGGAAGGGTGGGGGCTTCTGAAAAATAAAAAGTCTTCTATTTATTTTTTAAACAACAGATCTCAAGAATGAACAAATGAAATGAGTGTTATTGAATAACCATTGTAGCATTTTGTAATTTCTTTATTGGAATAATTATTTGCAGTTCCTTAGATTTTTGATTCCTACCAGGTTGTTCTCATGAAGGAATGTGATGGCTCTGCACAGCGGGATCTGTGCTTCCAGAGTCCTCTCATTGTAAAAAAAAAAAAAAAAATGTGACTGTGAAGATGGCAGAATCTGGATTAATTGCCTTGCTTAGACTTGAAGTACACGTGCTTTTGCTATATCAGAAAATAAAACAGATGTTCATGGGAGAAAAGAAATTATTTTGTTTTGTGGATGCAAAGAGTGATCTTTTTTAATTTGTCTACTGTTCCTCTTTTACAAGAATAAACACAATTATTATTAGATTTCTGAAGCTGTTTATTCTTAATTTTGTTAAATAGCGCCACGGAACCGATGATTTATTGCGCATTGAAGTGTAAGGATTTGTTTTATAGTTCTTCATTTTAGGAATATTGGAGGAGAAGATATTTTAACATGAAATCAAGACTGCCTTAGCCTTCTACAGTGACCCCCCTCTCCTCTCCTGCTGCCCAAATCAGAGACCCTCTTCAACAGGACAAGGCCCAGGGCAGGTCTAGGTATTTTGCAGAGGAACTAGCAATCCATGCTTCCGTCTTCTCCAGGTGTAACTTTATTATAGGAGATTTAAATAATAGATGATCCATTTTATTTTGTTCCACGGGGAAATGGAGCCCAGGTGCTTCTGTTAGCAGTCTTTACTGCTACAGATCTTAGAATTTTTTTCCAGATTTTCTAATTAACTACAATATCAGTTCTGCTAAAATTGGATATCACTGTGACAGTTTTATGTTCTCAGTTGTGAGGCTTAGAGAACCAAGTTTCAACTATTTACTTATGATTAATCAGTTAATTATTTAACAACATAATCCAGGAATTAAGAGCTATACTGTGTTAACATAGTGTGAGCTCAGTATAAGTGTGCTACCATTTTCTGCTAATATCAAAAAAGGATATAAATAAATGAAAAGATTCATTACTTTAAAGGCTGGGCGGCTTTTATTACATATTTTTCATTTTCTTTTCTTCTCTTTATACTTCGAATCCATTCATCTCAGTGCCTTGCTTCTAATTTTTAATTTCCTTTTCCCCTCCTCTACTTTTGGAAAGCAAAACACCTTTTTTTTCTTTCATACGCATCTCTTATGTACTTGCTATTCAAAACTCCTTTCCTTATTTATTGTTTTTCTCCTCTTTCTATCTTACTACTTTCAGAGTCTTTCTAGCGTTCTGTCTCTGTTCACCTTCGTTTTCTGTGCAGTGTTTCTCCCTTCTAACCGTCTTTATACTAATTACATTTGTAAAGCACAATACAGCGATAATTAATTAGCTGTCATAGCATCCATGCGATTTTGAAAAGTAATCATCCACTCTGAAAGAAGAAGAGGTTAAATGGCTTTGCCAAACCCATCCTGATAAGGATTGGTGTGGAAGGAACTGGAAGCCTCGCAGACAGTCTCGTGCTGTAATACCATCCCTGTTTGTTTTGAGACTCGTGCTAGCTACTGGCTCATGGCCCCAACAAGATGTTATTTATGATTATCAAAGCTCCATCAATCCATGCATCTCTCATCTGGTTAGGAGCAGTGTTTTACACTATTCAAGTATGCGGTTAGCAAATCCCACAGAGTAGGTTTATGTAATAAGAATAGGAATGCTGTTATTCGGAAAGATCTCTGCGTCAAACTTGCAACCTTGTTATTCAAGATTTCTAAGATGATTTTTCAGACTGAAAACATTAAGGATGTTGCAAATAAAAGTTGAGTTTGCCCAACTCAAAAAAAGTGTTGATAAAAGAAATACAACCTTAAAAAGCACAGACGTGCAGTTCACAGGGGTCTATGTCTTTTTTTTTTTCCCCAAAGATGAGTTTCCTCAAAGATGAGGAAAAAAAATTGACAGTAGGGAAATAGCAAAGTTTTCAGAATTCCAGATTATACCAACTGTTCCAAGCTGCTCTGTGCTGGCCTCTGCCCTCAGGTGGAAGTTAGCAGGATTTTGTAGGACTCCACTGAAGTGACACCAGTAATTCTGAAGAAAGCACACCTGTACAATAAATATCTTCCTAAACCAACATATAGGGAATAGAAGGACTGTTGTACAGCTAAGATGGATGCCTTGTCTCCTTAATTTCTCCTATAGTCAAAGGAGAGAGAGAGGCTCCTTGAGATGGTGAATCAGTGCACCAAAACTGCATTTCTCCTCTGAAGCACCCCAATGGGCTTCTTTCTGTTTGCTACCGTAAAGGTATCCAGGAGAGATGAGACTCTGTGCTGAGGGATGTGTGTAATAACCCACATGTTGTAAACTTGAATTAACTGTTTCAAGCTCCCCCTACCAAGTGTGGCCTCATGAACCAGCTTTAGCTGAAAGGAGCAGAAGCTGCAAGTGAGCTGCACCCTGCTGAGCTGTGTGAGGAGCGGGCACCCGCATGTGATGGCCTCCAGGTGATGCGGCCTGGCACACTGGGCTGCTGCCAGCAGGCGTGTTCCCCTGCTGCTGCATCCTGCCATTTTATCTCTTGTGCTTTCTCTTTGCATGCGTGCACAGCCACAGCTAGTTAATGGAGTTTGGATCTGCCAGCTGCCTCTAGTATGTGCTGGCCCAGGGTGGGAGACAAGCAGCAGCAGCACTGGCTGAAAGCAGGAGGTAGATTCACTTTGGTGTGTCTCGTTATAGGCACTGCATCAAATAAATTAGTTTATTTGTCTTCATCTTTGAGGCAGCATGTGCTTATTTGGCCTCCCCAAGGCGATGGTACTGTAGGTGAAGAGGTGCAGTCAGCCCTCGTCTTCCGTGCCTGAACACCACCTCCATCCCATTGGTGTGTGTTCTGCGACCCGTACACCCTCTTTTCTTAGCAGAATTGGAAAGCAAGGAAAGGCAGGAAGGCAGGTAGGTGATGGGGCCAGGACATTCCTCTTTCTCTTGCACTGAGTTGCTCTGAGAAAGTCTGGTGCCTGGTAGAGCCCCTTTCAACAATCCAGCTGAGGCCAAACTTGGAAACCACAGATGCTGCCATGAGATCCAGTGATTCCTCTTTCTGGCTTAAATACGTGCACTTTCATTTCCTTATTTTGCCTGTCCCTAAACTGCTGTTATACCAGTGAAATGCTGCCACTCTCATTTGAGCTCTAAATTTGGGTCTCTTTTTCCCTGGGCTGGCAGGGGAACAAAGGAGGGAAAAATCAGCAATGCAACAGAATCAGCAAAGCTCTGGAAATAGAGAGTAATGTGGAGAATTACTCATTTGTTCTCAGCTCTTTCTCCCCATAGTTTTGCAGTCAAATGGATCCATTACCGAGAAAGACTGGAGGAAGAAGGTGGCAAAGGGTGATAAACCTTCACAGAGTTCAATTTGCTTACAGGCAATGCAACAGGCAAAACTATACCTTTCCAAGTCCAATTCCATTTTATAATAATTTTATTTATATGACAGATAACAATTATAGTCAGAAGTCTTTGCTATGACTTGATTTAAATTAAACGTCAAGGTTATCATTCCCAGTTATAGTGCATAGCGAGATGGGTTTAACTTATCTCACTCTATTCTTGAGGCCTTTTATGTTCAAGGTTCTGCTGGAGCGATCTATTGCACTTGTTTTTACCTGATGGATCACGGAAGGAAAATAATGGATTCAGTTATGAGAAACAGTAATAGGTTTTTTTGAACTGACATAAATTTCTATGTTTAGATAGAATAAAAGGATCAGGAAGAGATAAGTTGAATTTTCTACAATAGACCGGTCCTTGTGAAATTCACTTCACATAAATTGTACTGAAACGTCTTTTATGTAATGTTTTATTTATGTAGTTCAGTTTTTCTTTGAGAACTAAATCATTTTATGTGGTCTTACAAAAGATAACTTAAAAATGTCCAGCCAAAAAGAAAGAACCTCCATTTTTCTTAAACTCTCCATTCTTCAAGAAGTTACGGAGCAATGCAATTATTTTGAACTGTAGTATTAGGGAGTTCCTAGTGCTTATTTTTGACTCCTATTGGAGAACCTTTGCTCACCTAATTTGCATTCAAGAACATATGCAGGAATAATAAACGTGATAGGGCAACAGGGAACCTTCTATCACTTGTACTGCTTTCTTCTTTAGTATCTTGTACTTGCTCTCTGAACGACTTGACTACAAGCAGCAATTTTCTTTGTGTGGATTTGTAACTTATAGCATGCAAGGAACTGAACCAGCAGACTGCGTGATTTTATTGTGGTTCAACAAACTATCAGTGCATAGAAATGGAGCAAATGAGTCATTCAAGTGATTGCTCCTTATGCTCTTCTACCTGCTTCTGTTTCACTGCTCTAAAAAGTGCTGCAGTATCCTGTCCACTCAATGCTCCCGTGGTCACTGCGACTTGCTGGTCAGCTACTTGAAGCGTATGGATCTTGCAGCGGATAAAAATGCTGCACGTAAGAGTTGTGCCACTGTGCTCAAAGAGATACAGATGTGTGGTAGATTTTTATGGAAGGCTTCCATTCTGTTCCATCAACATCTGGGCCAGATGCGTTCTCCAGTGTGTGACAGACCCTGGAGTCAGTCACCTGCCGGAAAAGTTCGCCCGGAAGAACTCTGCATATGCTCGAACGAAATACTGAACTGGGGTCTATGAAAAAGACTTCATTCTATCCGTGCTTACTATTAGCAGGTCCATGTAATTTATTT